AGAAAATGTAGAAATCGCAAAAATATTTGAAACATTGATCCATGACTCCGCAAAATGACAAAAACCCGATAAAAATGGTCCAATTTTCAAACAGCCATAACTCCTACAATATTTCAATGAAACTTTTTTCCGAAGTAGAGTCCATGGGTACCTACAAAAAGCTATTACACCAAATTTCCGTACAGCGTCAAACAAATTTATTAAAAATGAAAAACGAATTTTTAAGAAAAATCAACAAAGTTGAAATGTTTCGGCGAAAAGAAAGAATTTAAAATCATTCTGAAAAAATTATTTTTAGGCCCTGGGGTCAAGTAGAACCACTTTTGGTAAATACACATGCGTCCGAAATCCTACGCACTAACGAGAAAAAAATTCAGGAAGATGGACAAATTTTTCGATAAAATTAAAAAGTTCAAATAGTTCCGGGAAAATTATTTTCGGTTGCGGGGATCATTTACAATCATTTTTTATGAATAGACATACCCCCGAAATTCTACGCACTTACGAGGAAAAAATTCTTTACCGAAAATACAACGTCTGACCACGAATGGTGGTTCCCCTGAAATTCAGCGAAATTACAAACTTTTAATTCGTTGTAAAAAAAATTATTGTCGGTTGCGGGGGTCAATTACAATCATTTTTGGTCGATAAACATACCCTCGAAATTCTACGCAGTTTCGAGAAAAAAATTCGAGAAGGTGCCTAATTTTTCGGCGAAAAAGAAAAATTACAAATCGTTCTGAAAAAATTATTTTTAGATCCTGGAGTCAAGTAGAAACGTTTCTGGTGAAGAGTCATACCTTCGAAATCCTGTGCGTTTTCGAGCAAAAAAATTCCTAATCGAAAATGTAATTTATGACCAAAAATGTTGCTTGAAAACATGCAAATCTTTAAAATGTCATAACATCTGAACGGATTGGACGATTTTATAGTTTCAAACGGCAAACAACGCGTATTTGGGTGAAGAATATGTAGAAATCGCAAAAATATTTGAAACATTCATCCATGACTCCGCAAAATGACAAAAACCCGATAAAAATGGTCCAATTTTCAAACAGCCATAACTCCTACAATATTTCAATGAAACTTTTTTCCGAAGTAGAGCCCATGGGTACCTACAAAAAGCTATTACACAAAATTTCCGTACAGCGTCAAACAAATTTATTAAAAATGAAAAACGAATTTTTAAGAAAAATCAACAAAGTTGAAATGTTTCGGCGAAAAAAAAAGAATTTAAAATCTTTCTGAAAAAATTATTTTTAGGTCCTGGGGTCAAGTGGAACCACTTTTGGTAAATACACATGAGTCCGAAATCCTACGCACTCACGAGAAAAAAATTCAGGAAGATGGACAAATTTTTCGATAAAATTAAAAAGTTCAAATAGTTCCGGGAAAATTATTTTCGGTTGCGGGGATCAATTACAATCATTTTTTATGAATAGACATACCCCCGAAATTCTACGCACTTACGAGGAAAAAATTCTTTACCGAAAATACAACGTCTGACCATGAATGGTGGTTCCCCTGAAATTCAGCGAAATTACAAACTTTTAATTCGTTGTAAAAAAAATTATTGTCGGTTGCGGGGGTCAATTACAATCATTTTTGGTCGATAAACATACCCTCGAAATTCTACGCAGTTTCGAGAAAAAAATTCGAGAAGGTGCCTAATTTTTCGGCGAAAAAGAAAAATTACAAATCGTTCTGAAAAAATTATTTTTAGATCCTGGAGTCAAGTAGAAACGTTTCTGGTGAAGAGTCATACCTTCGAAATCCTGTGCGTTTTCGAGCAAAAAAATTCCTAATCGAAAATGTAATTTATGACCAAAAATGTTGCTTGAAAACATGCAAATCTTTAAAATGTCATAACATCTGAACGGATTGGACGATTTTATAGTTTCAAACGGCAAACAACGCGTATTTGGGTGAAGAATATGTAGAAATCGCAAAAATATTTGAAACATTGATCCATGACTCCGCAAAATGACAAAAACCCGATAAAAATGGTCCAATTTTCAAACAGCCATAACTCCTACAATATTTCAATGAAACTTTTTTCCGAAGTAGAGCCCATGGGTACCTACAAAAAGCTATTACACAAAATTTCCGTACAGCGTCAAACAAATTTATTAAAAATGAAAAACGAATTTTTAAGAAAAATCAACAAAGTTGAAATGTTTCGGCGAAAAAAAAAGAATTTAAAATCTTTCTGAAAAAATTATTTTTAGGTCCTGGGGTCAAGTAGAACCACTTTTGGTAAATACACATGAGTCCGAAATCCTACGCACTCACGAGAAAAAAATTCAGGAAGATGGACAAATTTTTCGATAAAATTAAAAAGTTCAAATAGTTCCGGGAAAATTATTTTCGGTTGCGGGGATCAATTACAATCATTTTTTATGAATAGACATACCCCCGAAATTCTACGCACTTACGAGGAAAAAATTCTTTACCGAAAATACAACGTCTGACCATGAATGGTGGTTCCCCTGAAATTCAGCGAAATTACAAACTTTTAATTCGTTGTAAAAAAAATTATTGTCGGTTGCGGGGGGTCAATTACAATCATTTTTGGTCGATAAACATACCCTCGAAATTCTACGCAGTTTCGAGAAAAAAATTCGAGAAGGTGCCTAATTTTTCGGCGAAAAAGAAAAATTACAAATCGTTCTGAAAAAATTATTTTTAGATCCTGGAGTCAAGTAGAAACGTTTCTGGTGAAGAGTCATACCTTCGAAATCCTGTGCGTTTTCGAGCAAAAAAATTCCTAATCGAAAATGTAATTTATGACCAAAAATGTTGCTTGAAAACATGCAAATCTTTAAAATGTCATAACATCTGAACGGATTGGACGATTTTATAGTTTCAAACGGCAAACAACGCGTATTTGGGTGAAGAATATGTAGAAATCGCAAAAATATTTGAAACATTGATCCATGACTCCGCAAAATGACAAAAACCCGATAAAAATGGTCCAATTTTCAAACAGCCATAACTCCTACAATATTTCAATGAAACTTTTTTCCGAAGTAGAGCCCATGGGTACCTACAAAAAGCTATTACACAAAATTTCCGTACAGCGTCAAACAAATTTATTAAAAATGAAAAACGAATTTTTAAGAAAAATCAACAAAGTTGAAATGTTTCGGCGAAAAAAAAAGAATTTAAAATCTTTCTGAAAAAATTATTTTTAGGTCCTGGGGTCAAGTAGAACCACTTTTGGTAAATACACATGAGTCCGAAATCCTACGCACTCACGAGAAAAAAATTCAGGAAGATGGACAAATTTTTCGATAAAATTAAAAAGTTCAAATAGTTCCGGGAAAATTATTTTCGGTTGCGGGGATCAATTACAATCATTTTTGGTGAATAGACATATCCCCGAAATCTTACCCACTTTCTAGAAAAAAATTCGAGAAGGTGTGAAATTTTTTGACGGAAAGAAAAATTTCAAATCGTTCTGAAAAAATTATTTTCAATTGCGTGGGTTAATTACAATCAAGTTTGGTGAATAGACATACCCCCGAAATCCTAACCATTTTCGAGAAAAAAATTCATTACTGAAAATATAATGTCTGACTATAACTGCTCGTTACCCTGAAAATTGAAAAGTTTCAAATCATTCTGGAAAAATTATTTTCGGTTGTGGGGGGCAATTACAATTACTTTTGGTCAATAGACATACCCCCGAAATCCTGCGCATTTTCGAAAAAAAAATTCAGTACGGGCGGAACTTTAAACGTTAATAACTTTTTAACGAAGCCTCAATCGACAAATTGGTATTCTTGATTTTCGTCTTATTTTGGCCCCTAGAATCCCTCATTAAAATTTTTCCCAGGGGTGGCCGAACACCCTGTATTGATGTTAAATAAGGTAGTGCATAAGCGTAATTTCAAATTGCCTCGCGAAATGTAAAGACGGAGATTGAAAAGAACATTGTATCCACTCGGATTCGTCGAGAGACTTCGCCGATAAGCGATAACACGATCAATTGAATTCAATGTTATTCGTTATCGGGCCGCGTTTTATGATCAAGTTACGGAATAAAAGTTAACAGTACAGGATATACTAGTGGCAAGCAATGACTTTCAAAAATAGATTGTTATCTGTACAGATTGGTAAACGTAAGTACAGTCGGTCGGCGTTGCTTTTTTTTTTACCATCCAGTCACCCGCCATAGTCAATCATAAGTGGATGTCACAAGCTTATACCAACGCTGTATGCTGTAACGATGCATTGTTTGTGTTCGTAATCATGTTTACACTTGGATACGATATACAAATCTCGTATTAAATATTCTATGCTTAAAAAGTTATATTCAAAGCGCTACAAATGTGTTCGTAACGATTACAGCCGTATTTACTTAAACATTGTAAATGTAAATAGAAGTATAAATCAGGCATTCTAATCGCTGCTCGACTCGTACCGCGAACCGAGTTATCAACAAAATGTTATTTGTAGCCCGTAGTAACGATAAAAGGGTACCCAGATAATAGTTACAAGCGATAATCGGACATTATAATCGATTTACCAGAGTCCGTCTCCCGAGCGTTACCGAAATTGTGAAAACCTTTTTCAGGATCAATTCATCGATCGTAATGTCCTTTAATATCTTTCGATCCGAGTATTTGTTGCCCCTAGACGCAACCGCTTCAATCTCAATTCGTCGCGCCTCTGAGTTCACCTTCTCATCGACTGTAATAAAGTTACTCGGTGATATTAAAAAAATTCATCATCTTTAGATTTTTGGAACATAGAAAACCCGAAAAATCGAAATGCATCCGTTCGATAACGAATTATTATCAATCGCTCTAAATAATGTTGTGTAAAAAAAAAATAATAATAAGACGCGATCTTATGGTCGCTATAGTAATATGCATATACATTTGTTTTGAACTGTTTCGAGGAGCAGTATAAAATGTAGTTTTATTCGGTAGAATGTTTCTCAATAGAAAAAAAACACGATTTGTAAATGAAAAAGTGTTTTGTTTTTGTTACAGTTTTTCCTAACGTGCCGCCTGCACCAGGGATGCCATGTCAGGGAGAAGACAGTGAGTTTCACCTATGACCAGTAATAATATAAACTTGTAATACACACACGCACACTAGCCAGCGAGTTATGCAATTAACAATAAGTTTGTCACAAGGTCTGGCTAATATTCGTACAACGACGATTACGATTGATCTTTGGTGTATCGTTTCTTTTATGGACGCTTCTTTCTCTTCTTTTGACGTTATTGCCGCATTTGAATTGAGTAGAATTTACTTTGTTTCATTTCTCATGAAACATTGCCGTGCTTGCGCTAATTATCATCATTTACATCTAAATGCATAACGAATAATTAACGCGCGGCCTAGAAAAAGTATTCACTGTTGGACAGAATGATGGGGCACCGTTTTACACGTTAAAAGTTTCATATACAGCGACTGTCACTTAAAATCGTACACCTAGCGGTTCAGCCGAGTATTTTTCCAATAAAACATGAAAATTGTATTAAATTGTTGAAACTCGTATAGAGGTATATAGTGTAATGTTTCTTTATTTGATATATAACAACAATACAAAAAAACTTTTAGTGGTACTCAGCAAATTAAAATTTGAGGTTACGTGTGAAACTCAGGTGTCAGTAAAAATCGCACACTGTTGGTAACATTGGAAATCCGGTGAATCCCCAATTGTTTTTTATGTAACAATGCTTAGCAACGATTGAATCTACTTGATTTAGCAGCATTCTGATCGTTGTATGCATTGTTCTGCCACAAAATCAATAAAATAGACTTAAAATGCGACAAACGGCGGAGCGTGAATTAGTTATTTATCACTACAAAAACAAAAAAAGTTTTGATGGAATTAGTAAAATTATTAATCGAAGTAGAAGCACAGTTCAATGTATAATAAAACGATACAAAGAAGAGGACCGTGTAGTGAATAAATTAAAAGAGATGTCTGATAAGAAACCGAATATCAGGGATGAACGATGGATTGTTAAAAAAATTAAGGATGATCCAAGGATTAGTGCTTCAAAATCAGCGTCTAAAGTTGAGAAATATTTAAAGAAGGAAGTAAGTGACTCAACCATTAGAAGAGTATTAAAAAAACAGAAGTATTATGGTAGAGTTGCTCGAAAGAAGCTGTTCATAAGTTTGCAAAATAGAAAGAAGTGGTACGAGTTTGCTAAGAAGTATATAAAGGAACAGTTTACTTGAAATTTAATATCTTCGGTTCGGATGGAAGAAAAATTGTGTGGAGAATACCAAATACAGCTATGGATATCAAAATCTTCAAGCGACAGTTAAAGGAGGATGTTAAAAAAGTGCCAAATTTGTACCCCACCAGGCATCTAAAATAATTATAAGGCATCATTCTACAGATTCTGCACTTCGAATTGTGCACAATTGTTTATAGCAAATGTGATGGAAAAGTCGTGAAAAATGTGATTGAAGTTGACGATGCTACAAAAGACGAGTCATAACTTTCTGACTTCAAATAACTATAACTTCAAAGTGAATACATGAAACGTAACAATTCCGATACTATTTTGTAAAGAAAAGTCAATATTTCTATAATATGCAAATGTTGCCCAGATTGTTCGGTTAGTAAACGCAAGAGATTGAGATGATGTATTAGGATGCAAATATTCCTCAAAATATGTTTAAGTATATACTGTAACTCAGTTCTAAAACGGGATGGAATGCATTCAATATGAAGAACTATTTTATATTTCATCCTCTTCTTCAGATGATGACATTTCTTCGATTAAGTATCTGCTGAGGAAGTTGGCAGGTGAATGTATGGATGTTTGATGTCGTGCAAATCCGAAGTACCATAATACTGTTGCAATATGTGAACTACACTTGGCCTATTTTACACTCACAAGTATGTCCAACAATTGCAGCAAGTCCAACCTTACTTTTAACAAACTCTGTAAACTGCAACCAAAGATGCCCCTTTTTCTTGACAAATGACTTCTGTCAATGTTCAGAAACAGTTTTGAACTCTGGGTACTGCTTCACAAAGCAAATCTACTTCTGAAAAAGTGCTGTCACCCGTGCTATTGACATTTCTGCCTCGATAGCATCCCACACGACACCAATTGTCATTACACTTCCGGTATTTGTTTCGAGCTAACTTTGCAAGTGACTTGCTACAAATAGTACAGTTTCTCTCCATTTTACACTATAACGTGCGCTACAATACACTACAGGAATTATATTAGGCTACAAAGTACATTACACAAATCACACTAGACTGCAAAGTACACTACACAAAAATCGTAATACAAAATGTCTTCAAAATAAAATAAAATCTCAAATCTAAAAAAATCTAGGAATCGCTTGGTTTGCACTGGATAGCATCTCATATAAAACTGTGGTCCAACTCCAGACAAAAGAAAAAGTATCATAGAAAGCCATAGTGGTGTTATCTTCTTCAGATAAACATCTCTACAAGAATGTAACAAACCAGCAAAACCATCTGAAGTATAAACACTTCAGTTCGCACGATAGTAACCATATCGTATATGTTCTGAACGTCATCGTTAATGTTAAATTCATTAAAAAATTATGATCCAAAGGAGAAGGGGATGAAATATAATAACAGTTTTTCATATTGAATGCATTTAATTCCATTCTAGGAAAGAGTTACAGTATACCATTAAACATATTTTGAGGAATATTTGCATCCTAATGTATCATCTTAATCTCTGGAATTTTACTGTTACTAACCATCAATCTGGGCAACATTTCTTTGCATATAATATAAATATTGACTTTTCTTTACAAAATAGCGTCGGAATTGTTACGTTTCATGCATTCACTTTGAAGTTATAGTCATTTGAAGTCCGAAAGTTGATTCATCTTTCGTAGCATCGTCAACTTCAACCACATTTTTCACGACTTTCCCATCACATTTGCTATGAACAGTTGTGTACAATTCGAAGTGCAGAATCTGTAGAATGACGCCTTGTAGTTATTTTAGGTGCTTGGCGGGGTATAAATTTGGCACTTTTTTAACATCCTCCTTTGAGGTTACGTATGAAACTTAGCTGTCAGTAAAAATCGTACGCTGTTGGTAACATTGGAAATCCGGTGAATCCCCAATTGCTTTATGTCCAACAACGCGTAACAACGATTGAATCTAGCTGATTTAGCAGCATTCTGAATGTTATATGTGTTGTTCTGCCAAAAAATCAATAAAAAAGACTTAAATGCGACAAACGGCGGAGCGTGAATTAGTTATTTATCACTACAAAAACAAAAAAAGTTTTGATGGAATTAGTAAAATTATTAATCGAAGTAGAAGCACAGTTCAATGTATAATAAAACGATACAAAGAAGAAGACCATGTAGTGAATAAATTAAAAGAGATGTCTGATAAGAAACCGAATATCAGGGATGAACGATGGATTGTTAAAAAAATTAAGGATGATCCAAGGATTAGTGCTTCAAAATCAGCGTCTAAAGTTGAGAAATATTTAAAGAAGGAAGTAAGTGACTCAACCATTAGAAGAGTATTAAAAAAACAGAAGTATTATGGTAGAGTTGCTCGAAAGAAGCTGTTCATAAGTTTGCAAAATAGGAAGAAGAGGTACGAGTTTGCTAAGAAGTATATAAAGGAACAGTTTACTTTTTGGAAAAATGTAATTTCTTGAAGATTGATCCAAGTGGTGAAATATAAAGGAGAGTCCACACATTACTAGAACTTCAAGAAACTATGTAATTTTATTTAATTCCAATACAACATTTAATTAACATTAACAAATGAAATTAATATTTTGTCGTAAATTTCATTTTTTTTTTTTCCATAAATAACAAATGGACGATTTATTTTATATTTTAGTAAATTATGTCAAAGTTAGTATTTCATTTCGTTATATATTCATTTTAAACGAAAATGTATTGAGGAATGCAGTGTCGCCATCTATGAGACCGATCCGAATGGGACTCCCCCGCGTGGCGACTAGAACGTTCGCTGTACTCGATGATGTTACGTGCCTTTTTCATTTTCTAAAAATTACACCATGTAGTCTTAAAGTATTATTAAAGTAATAATAAGTCTGTGAATACATTCGTGTTAATAGTGGTCTCATCCAAACCATAACAAATGTACAAATGTACATTAACATAACAGATGTTAATTTCCAAAAATCTTGAGGCGCCCCATTATTCTGTCCACCGGTATACCATACTCGATTTCCAGTTTAAACATCGCGGGTCTCGCGATCGAGATGATCTTATCGTGTTTACAAACGATCCAAGTTACTTGTCTCGTCCTTCTAAGGATTATTCGTTAGTTTTGACGAGCCAAAGTATGGAAGGACTCAAGCCAATCGCAGTGCTTTTACTGCAGGCCTTTCAGTGCGGTATTCCAACGTAAATCAATTCATGTTTTACCTTATATTTATGAAAATACATTAAAAAAGAATATTCCCGTAATTTCTAAAAAAACTACTGTACATATAAATAAATCTGCAATTGCGACGGTTTCGCGCTTGATTATTTTAGAGTTATATTCCGGAAAGAACGAAGACATCGAAGCAGACATTCAAGACATACTCTATCCTCTTCTTTTGTGATATTTATGTTTTTTCATTTTCCAAAGGAAGCATCTACAGACGCGGCGCACGTAGATGGAGGAAGCTGTACCGGGTGAATGGTCATATATTTCAAGCAAAACGTTTCAATCGGGTAAGCATCATACTTCATTCAATTATTTGCTCGACTTGCTTTCTTTTTCCTCGTTTCGCTGTTTTTGATATACTTTCACACATTCTTTCCCTTCTCGTTCTGCTCAAATTTCATCCGCTACACATTTACATTCTCAAAACAATGTTTTCTGTTAGATAGATTAATTCCTGATAAAAGAGAACTTGCTGGCTAGTAGTCTCCAGGAATCATTCTGTGTTTGTCCGGTGTATCCGGTTTCGATACTAACCTTTCTTCGCGGTAAAATGAGAGTGGTGTCAGTCAATGTTACCGGTAAACATTTGAAAGATAGGTATGCGAACGGTACAATAGATAGTATTGCAAAGAACCGTTAAGATATTTAAAGAAGGGGGAAACAGGAGGAAGAACGATGAAAAGGATTGGCTATATTTGGATCGAGATGAAGAAGAGAAAGAGGAAAAAGTATATAAAATTGAAGGGGAAGGATGAAACTTTGTGAGAGGATGTAAAGTACAAATGTTTAGGAGGAAAAACAGATGATGACGCAGGAAAAGAAGTGACGGTAGGAATAAGTTAGTAGTTACAAATTATAAATAAAATAAATTATCGAGAATCCGTGGAGAGACAATTACATGGTATGGTTATCGGTAGCAAAACGACTATATTTCCCAATATTATTTTGACTCGCACCATTCTCGTTCGAAGAAGCCCTTTTTGAACCGCTTGTTTTGTTTATTAATGTTTTCTTAACTTTCGCAGCGAGCGTTTTGCGCCTTCTGTCAGGATCGAATTTGGGGATTAGGAAGACAGGGGTTCAAGTGCATTCAGTGCAAGTTACTCGTTCACAAGAAATGTCACAAGGTGGTACGTATGCCATGCTTGAATATACAGCAACAGCAGCAGCAACAGACCCCGAGCACAGAATCGCAGACGATCGACAGAAATGGTGATCAGCTGCAGCTCGATTCCGTTCAATGTAGCCTGTTAACTCACCCCGAAGATGAGATCTCAGAGTCGCCAATTATAGAGGAGCATTCGCGCAATCGTAAGAAATTAAACAATCCTTTTTTATAAAACCGAACTGTTACGAGGCTGTTATCGGATTAGATGCTTATGAGATGTTTGTTTGTAGGAACCGGGAGCGAAGAAAGGGAGGAACTGCCCTTGGACACGCTAAACGATGCGGATAATTCGAATGATATGCAGAGGCAGTACTCGTTAAATGATTTTGAATTGATTAGGGTAATTGGTCGTGGTTCCTACGCGAAGGTATTGATGGTGGAACTGAAGCGTACAAAAAGGATTTACGCTATGAAAGTGATCAAGAAAGCTTTGGTGACGGACGACGAGGACATCGATTGGGTTCAGACGGAAAAGCACGTGTTCGAGACTGCTTCGAATCATCCTTTCCTCGTGGGTCTCCACTCGTGTTTTCAAACGCCTTCTCGTCTATTCTTCGTGATCGAGTTCGTACGCGGCGGCGATCTTATGTTTCATATGCAGAGACAACGCCGACTACCGGAGGAGCATGCTCGATTTTATGCAGCTGAAATTAGCCTGGCGTTGAACTTTTTACACGAGAAAGGTAAAAGAGAAACTCCATCGTGGAAAGCAACCTCCGTTAGAGGAAATTAACAAGTTAACAGAAGTTTCCCACGTATCTGATAAGCGTATAAATTAATTTTTTAACATTTTGTGCGTAGGTATCATATACAGAGACTTGAAGTTAGATAATGTACTACTCGATCATGAAGGGCACGTTAAATTGACTGATTACGGAATGTGCAAAGAAGGCGTTCGAGAAGGCGACACGACCGCCACGTTTTGCGGCACTCCGAACTATATCGCGCCAGAAATATTGCGGGGTGAAGATTATAGTTTCTCTGTAGATTGGTGGGCGCTTGGAGTACTGCTGTATGAAATGCTTGCAGGTCGCAGCCCGTTTGATATCGCGGGCGCGTCCGAAAATCCAGATCAGAACACCGAGGACTATCTGTTCCAAGTTATTTTACAGAAGACGATTCGGATACCGAGGTCGTTGTCGGTCAAAGCAGCTTCTGTCCTAAAAGGTTTCCTTTGCAAAAATCCCAACGAAAGATTAGGCTGCGGCAAAAGGCCAACTGCTTTTCTAGATATCGTTGCTCATCCCTTCTTCAAAGCGATCGACTGGGAAATGGTAATTAATCATTATCCGTGAAGTGTTTGGAACAACAATTTATTTATACATCGAACGTTGCAGTTGGAGCAGAAACAAGTTACGCCACCTTATAAACCGCGTTTGAACTCTGACCGTGACCTAGCTAATTTCCCGCCAGAGTTTACAGACGAACCGGTACATTTGACGCCGGACGATCCGTAAGTTTCACAAGTACGACGCTATATTGAATCAAAGGAACGAATAAAATTAAATAACGAATGTTTTTACAGGAGAGTGATCGATAAAATCGATCAGAGTGAATTTGAGGGCTTCGAGTACGTGAACCCGTTACTTATGTCTCTGGAAGACTGCGTGTGACAAGAACCGCTTGTTATTGTGCAACATCACAATCAAAATCAGCAACAATTACAGCAGTGTTACATGTATGAGTTACAAGACAAACTTGCGAAGCTTCGAATCGATCCTCTGTTTAACATCGGCTCGAGAAGCCGCGGTTATCACAATAACGTTTTTTTAATGACGTACTCCGAAGAGAACGAGAACGACAATAATTATAACGAATATCGGTTATCGCCACCATTCCCATTCCGATACGAAAGCCCGTTATACTCGAGTTCTCTAAGTATCACAGATGTTACTTACGGCTCTAGCAATAACAATGAGATCATTAGTAACTACGACGAACAGAATTATGATGACGAGGAAGATGAAAGTCCAAAGAAAGGACTCTTAAAGCAAATGTTTTGCCTTCCATTAAATTAAGCTAAATAAGGCTTGTTTAATAATACAAGATTGCCTCTAATCGATAGTTGATATAAATTTTGTAGATTGCAAGAGATATGAAACCTGTAACGACGTTAAAGTTTACAGAATCCTCGTATTAAGTATCGGGAAAAAAAAAAAGTATTTAATTTAACGCCACATGTTACACGGTCGTGTTGTTTCTTCTTTCATATGGTGCTGCAATTAAGCGTATTAATGGGTATTATTTTCAGTTAATTTTAGATGAGAAATGGATTAAAACAAAAAATGTACCTGACTGCTTCGATTAATCTCGTAGATAATATGTCATTCCGTTATGCAGTCGTTCTATTAATAATTACAAGCATTATACGATCTAATATATCGCTTGCATGAACGTATTCACTGAAACAATAGCAACAATATATTTCTAACGAACTAATATCTATTTAAGGAGAACACTGTATATTATAGATTAATTACGTATTAAAACAATACAGCAAACGTAAGTATATTCCTAAAGAAACTAATTTTTTTTCTACATTTCATTCTTCAATTTTTTTATACAGAGTGTTTGATGCCTACGATAATAGTATTGGACAATTTTAAAAAGAAACTGTCGATGACAATGTATATTAAAGAAATCTTAATCACATCACAATGTAGCAGTATAAATTTTTTTCAAATAATTTTCTTCGCGGATTACGTGCTTCGAGGACGTAAAAGTTGAACAGTAAATAATTTTGGTGTACATTCGTCTTACGAATAAAAATTGTTTTCGCTTCTCTCGCGATATTTACAAATAACTTATTAGATAATGGCTGGCGTATTTTAAAATAACGGAAGAAAGAAATTGCACAAAATTACAAACGGATCTTGTCTCTTTCGTAGTTCGAATAATCTAATTTCAGTCAAGACTATGGCAAATAGTCCCGATGCTACATCCTACCTCCAAGTTTTGTGTTAAAAATTATATGTGCTTAATCATAGCTACGTTAGAATAAAATTTTTCCACTGCCGTATCTATTTTTTTTATCCATTATACAATTATAATTATTACAGTTACGTGTTACGGGAGAAGCTGCGACCCTCGACGAATAATATTGTTTTTGTTGCCACATTTTTTTCATAATATAAGTTAAGGAACAAGATTGAAAACTATCATTTAATTTTAGTTGATAAACGAACACCATATAAACCTTAATATTTGTAAACATTCTAAATAATGTTAATGTGATTTGGAATACCGTAGAATAACAAGTACATTTAATTGTTGAATGTATTTAGATTTTACATAAGAATTTGAACAAATGTTAAGGATAATACAAAACGCTTCCGTATGAAATACTTCATTAATAAAAGGCACTTGATTTTGTGCAATTTTTTTAATTCTTTGTTACGTTTGCGTTTCTCTGTTTATTCTTTTTCTAATCGACGCATTTTACCAAAATTATTTACTGCGAACAATTGTTCGTTCCTATGATTACGATAAATATAGGAAAATGTTACAAATCTTTATAAAGAATCTAGATAATTATAAAGGCTCGACGTGAAAATTAGGATAATTTGAACAGAATTTAGAATAAGGACACGCACGAAAATAAAATTGCCAAAATGCATTATATAAAAGATGTTTTGTGCAAAATTAATAATTTTCCTGAGATTCTTACATGCCAGATATGTATACTATATTATGCAGAGTGAGACATTTTGATTACCATGAATTCAAGCTAGCGCCGTTGAATTGAAAGAACTTAAATAGAATTTACGTTCATGTTTAAAAATTGTCGTCTGAATACGTTTTCTGTTTTACAAATTGCACAACCGATTCGTTACATTTTCTCAAACGAGTAAGATAATTCAACAAGGTGTAAAGTAACTAAAGTAACTTAATAAATGTAGTATTTTTTTAAAAAAAATGCAATAATTAAAAAGACACGTTTATAGATCATAACGAGCAAATGTTTTAATTGAAAATCTTATACATTATATTTCGTTGTTATAATTACTGCGATCGCTGTTTATGGTAACGGATATAGTTTTATTGTTTTCTATTCTTTTTTTTTTTTGTAAAAATATCGACTAAACGTCTGTACCTTTTATATAACGTCGATGTGCGTATTTATCTATATTAAATCTTCCTTGTCCGAAAGCTACGGAGTATTTTAGTATAATTTTATAACGTCGTAGAAATTAATTGATTAAGCATTCCTTATGGATTTAATTATCGAGAATTAATAATTTTCCATTATTATGGTTTGAAGTATTATATACGTATATTAATAAATAAGTTTATCCATAATGAACTATTACGTTAGCTTACGTATTTATCTTGGATAGTGGAAATAAAAAGAGCATAACTTATTATGCAGGGTGTTCGGCCACACCTGGGAAAAATATTAATTGGTGATTCTAGAGGCAAAAATAAGACGAAAATCAAGAGTACCAATTTATCGATTGAGGCTTCGTTAAAAAGTTATTAACGTTTACAGTTCCGCTGGTACCGAATTTTTTTCTAGAAAGTGGGTTGGAATTTCGAGGGTAGGTCTATTCACCAAAAATTATTGTAATTGTTCCCCGAAACCGAAAATAATTTTTCTAAAACGATTTGAAATTTTTTTATTTCGTCGACAAATTTCACACCTCGAATTTTTTTCTCGAAAGTGGGTAGGATTTCGAGGGTATGTATATTCACCAAAAATGCTTGTAATTAACCCCTGTAACTAAATATAATTTTTTCAGAACGATTTAAAATTTTTTTAATTTAATTTTTTAATAACTTTTTAACGAAGCCTCCATCGACAAATTGGTATTCTTGATTTTCGTCTTATTTTCGTCCCGAGAATCCCCCATTAAAATTTTTCCCAGGTTTGGCCGAACACCCTGTATATACATATACATATATACATATATATATATATATATAAATATAAAATATTTTTGTAGTTGTAATCGTAATGCTCTCATTAATTTTATTGAAACGACGATCTGAAAAATAATACTACCTTCTCTGAATTCATTAACGAATAAATGGAATGTATTGTTACATTATTTAACAATTGTTTATCGTTTTCAGCAACGAATTTGTATAGAAGTGAAAACATATCAATGGAGACCCGAAAAAAAGATACAAATTTTAAAATTAATAGTCGTAAAGAACACAATGCAAATAACGATACGTTAATGTAACGAAAATTTACTAATTTTAATTAACATTGGCGGTGATACGAATTACATTGTTCGTTTATTCGAAATTTAATAGTGTTAACGTTAATACTGTTTCTTCCGCAAGAGATAAGGCTTTTTAACCGATATCGTTCATAAAAAAAAACATTATTTCCGTTTCACTTTAAGTGCCTCGCCCTGTATACTAAATGTATATATATTTATGCATGTATATAGATCCAAAAGTTATTGTAATTCGTTCGAATTACGTGAATATTACTAATACATGTGTATAATTTTAATATTTCGTACGCGACAAACAAAATTGTAATCACTTTATATGGTAAAATTCGATCGGCAGCGCCTATCAATTTGCTGAAACAAAATTTAAACGCGAAAATTCGTTACTCGTACTCCTTTTCCCGTTGTGATTACTTCCACGGATAATTAATTGTCATTGGTACTTGGTAACTATCTAAAATAAATACTTTTCATGTGTCAGAAACTATGTTCCACATGGCAGTTCCATAAATATATTAATGAAAATAACAGTATAGAATGAAAAGTACGTTATTTAAATATTAAAAGAAAAGAACACTGTTAGCGCTTAAAATAAAAAAGAAGGATACTTGTTATCATTTATATATATATATGAGGAATTTTAAAGCAATTTATACGTTGTTATTTAAAAGTCAGTTTTCCATTGAAATAACTGTCGATTAAAGCAGTGTTGGCCAACGTAGAGAGGCCCTCTGCTTGCTTCCTCTTTTAATAATTATCGCGCGATATTAAAAATGCGATCATAAACTAGGTACCAACTAATTTACAAACACCACGCGCAGACGTGTTTTTGTACAGTGTTTGCCTTCCGGGGTGACGACATTTGGTCAACACTGGATTAAAAAGCAAGTTGTTTAATAATGCAATTGTTAATAATGAATCAGTAATTGAAAACGAATCGTATAATTGAGATGAAAAATAGGAGATCTATGTAGTGCGTTTTATTTATAATAAAATACGAAGACAAGAAGTAGAAATAAATGGAATCTCAGTCGTTAAACTGATGTAAAAAGTTGACTAACGAATAAATCAAGCTTTCCTTTTGTTCCCCGCTCTAAGGAATACTAACGTTCTAAATACTGCAAATGAAATTTTTAATTTATGTTTCACGTTTGATTGGCGGTCATTCAATTCTGTACGTTGATAAATATCAATATAACTCTATATTCGCAAACGAATATTTCATTAATACTGAAAATGTTAGTTCTTTTTAGAGATCTGAAGAACGTTTAGAATCCGATTTTCTGTTTACTTTGTTTTTCGGTAGAAACTTTTTAAATATTCGTTCGCGGAAGGGCGTTTTCGAAAATGTTCTTTTCGCCATGTTACTGTTTTAACACCACATGTTTATTAAATAATTTTATTGACAATCGATACATAGTTTTCCAAATAAAACAAGCGTAATCGTCAATATATTATTTTAGTTACTAGTAATAGTACTAATATTAATATACCAATATTAGTAATGTTACTAGCAATTAAAATAATATATTACTAATATTAGTAATATTACTAGTATTAGTAATATTACTAGTATTAGTAATATTACTAGTATTAGTAATTATTTTAGTTACCAATTTGTAAGGTATCGTGAAAGTATCGTTACTTATATAGTGCCAGCAATTTTAATATCGGATCGAATATCAGCGTCACGGAAGATCTTCCCCATATGAAATCATAATGAGTGAAGGGTTTCGTTGATATTATTTCATCATGGAACACAACGTTGGAAAGTTTTCTTTTCAAAAGCTCAACGTCCTGAAAATGGAAGAAGATCCGATAGAATAATCAATTTAATAGTATACGTGTTTAACATTGTAATACAACAATTTCAGTGGAACATACTATCAAACCAAATGATTTGTTCAGCATTGTATAATTACCTTTGGTACTGCTAGCAAGTCGTTGACGCTGCTGAAAAGAGCGACGGGCGCAGTTACTTTATTCAATTCGTAATCTGGCGGTTCCGAAGAATTGTACAATCGATAATTCTTCTCCTCGTTATCGTAATCGAATCTTCTGAAGCGATCTGAAACATTTGTCGTAACTTTCGTTGATTTCGATTTTTGTTAACGCAATAGGTGCTGACCTTTGTGTATGTATCCTTCGCCGTAGTGAACCAATTGTTTCCAGGAAGCACCCGCGGGAACGTGGCCAATAATCACTGTCAGATTGCCCTAAACAGATTGAAATTTCGGTAATTATTTAGAAAAGGGAAGGTCTCACCGATTTCGATGATTTTTAAATATTAGTTTGGGGAAAAAGAAATCCATTACTTTTCACCTAGATGGCTCTAGTGACGTGCAGGGAGATTCTAGATGCCAAAATGAGACGAAAATCAAGAGTACCAATTTGTTGATGAAGGCTTCGTTAAAAAGTTATTAACACTCAAATTAAAAAAATTCAAGTCGTTCTGAAAAAATTATTTTTAGTTTCAGGGGTCAATTTCAATCATTTTTGGTGAATAGACATACCCCCGAAATCCTAAGCATTTTCGAGAAAAAAATTCGAGTAGGTGCTGAAATTTTTTGGCGAAATTGAAAAATTTCAAATCGTTCTAAAAAAATTATTTATAGTTTCAGGGGTCAATTTCAATCATTTTTGGTGAATAGACATACCCCCGAAATCCTAAGCATTTTCGAGAAAAAAATTCGAGTAGGTGCTGAAATTTTTTGGCGAAATTGAAAAATTTCAAATCGTTCTAAAAAAATTATTTATAGTTTCAGGGGTCAATTTCAATCATTTTTGGTGAATAGAGATACCCCCGAAATCCTAAGCATTTTCGAGAAAAAAATTCGAGTAGGTGCTGAAATTTGTTGGCGAAATTGAAAAATTTCAAATCGTTCTAAAAAAATTATTTATAGTTTCAGGGGTAAATTTCAATCATTTTTGGTGAATAGAGATACCCCCGAAATCCTAAGCATTTTCGAGAAAAAAATTCGAGTAGGTGCTGAAATTTGTTGGCGAAATTGAAAAATTTCAAATCGTTCTAAAAAAATTATTTATAGTTTCAGGGGTCAATTTCAATCATTTTTGGTGAATAGACATACCCCCGAAATCCTAAGCATTTTCGAGAAAAAAATTCGAGTAGGTGCTGAAATTTTTTGGCGAAATTGAAAAATTTCAAATCGTTCTAAAAAAATTATTTATAGTTTCAGGGGTCAATTTCAATCATTTTTGGTGAATAGATATACCCCCGAAATCCTAAGCATTTTCGAGAAAAAAATTCGAGTAGGTGCTGAAATTTGTTGGCGAAATTGAAAAATTTCAAATCGTTCTAAAAAAATTATTTATAGTTTCAGGGGTCAATTTCAATCATTTTTGGTGAATAGATATACCCCCGAAATCCTAAGCATTTTCGAGAAAAAAATTCGAGTAGGTGCTGAAATTTGTTGGCGAAATTGAAAAATTTCAAATCGTTCTAAAAAAATTATTTATAGTTTCAGGGGTCAATTTCAATCATTTTTGGTGAATAGACATACCCCCGAAATCCTAAGCATTTTCGAGAAAAAAATTCGAGTAGGTGCTGAAATTTTTTGGCGAAATTGAAAAATTTCAAATCGTTCTAAAAAAATTATTTATAGTTTCAGGGGTCAATTTCAATCATTTTTGGTGAATAGAGATACCCCCGAAATCCTAAGCATTTTCGAGAAAAAAATTCGAGTAGGTGCTGAAATTTTTTGGCGAAATTGAAAAATTTCAAATCGTTCTAAAAAAATTATTTATAGTTTCAGGGGTCAATTTCAATCATTTTTGGTGAATAGAGATACCCCCAAAATCCTACTCACTTTCGAGAAAAAAATTCGTATAGATGGACAAATTTTATTAATAATTTTGCTAATAACTTTTTAACGAAGCCTCGATCAACAAATTGGTATTCTTGATTTTCGACTTATTAATCGAACGACAACAAATTCTAAAACAAAACGGTACATATTTGAACATGAAAATAATGGATTTCTTTTTCCCCAACCTAATATGTTGTAGAAATCAACATTTTGAACAATTTTTTTCTATACATATGACCGTCACTCGGCCTTGGTTTCCGAGATTTTTCCTCAAAAAGATTGCCCTTCCACGAGAAGAAGCGTGTTTACATCCCCACTCCTGCTGCAGTCCGCTGATTGGCTTTCACCGATCTTCGTCACCGTTTTCGACCAATCCTGTGTGTCAGCGAACAACACCAAGAGTGGGGATGTAAACACGCTGTGCCTTCTTCTCGTGGAAGGACGATACACGTCTGTGGTTTCCTATATCCTATATTATTATTTATATTTTATATTTTTATTTATTTATTTATACTGTAATTACACCATTTCTCGTTTTCTTTCTGAATTTTCTATTTTCTACTTCCACCTGTCTCATGTTCATTACTCCAGTTATTCCCCCTCCTTTCTACTCTTTTAACTCCTCCTCCTCCCCCTCGTCTTCTCCTTTTCCCTTCTTAACTCTCCCACAACCCCAACCTCGCTTCCAGCATTCGCTTACAACTAAAATTAAACTAATAAAAAAGAAAATAAAACAACTTAATCTCTAGTCTTAACACATTACCGACCGATAGCCTATTAACCCCTTAACGCTCATATTTTTCGGGTTAACCAACAATGATCAGGTTTCTTTATTGGATTTGTCTCTAAAAATACGGTTTTTGTTGATTATAATGTTGTATCTAACGTATAATTTGAAGGAAACCAAATATTTTCATCCCTTAAACCGTTGAATTAAACAAATATTGTTTTTCAAAGCAGTCAGACTCGAGCATGAACGTTAAGGGGTTAATCGACTTTTTTACCGACCAACACTTACCGACCGATAGCGTATTAATCAACTTTTTTACCGACCAACGCTTACCGACCGATAGCCGATTAATCAACCGCTACCGGTCGGTAAAGTGTTAATTACTAGTTATCTCTACCCCATTAGGAACATCCTCCTATTTCTCCTAACTTTCCCCGCATATCGCGACCCGACTCCTCCATCCTTCTTTTCTTTTTTCACAAATCCTTCCCTATCTTATCCAAAAAACCCTTCATTACCCTATATACCCTGGTCCTATTCATCGCCAACAACCCTACCACGCCTTCCCCTACCTTCGCTATTTCCTTCCTCAACCTCCCTCGCATCTCCTCTCTCTCTCCAGGTTATACAAACCACACTGGAACATTACATGCTCCACATTCTCCTCCCCCCTGCCCGTACTCACACCTTCCGTCTCTAATCATCCCTTTCCTTGCCAATGACCCTCTTAGATTATAATGATTTGCTCTTAGCCTGGAGATCAACCTAATCACTCCCCTATTCACCCCTCTTAACTTTTCAAATCACGGCTTAAACCTCACCCTCTTACTACTGACCCAAAACTTCCTAAAATACTCCCCTTCCTTTCCATCTCCCCCCCCTGAACTTCTTCCACCCATCCCTTTTCCTTTGGTCCAACACCTCCTCAGTGGGAACCTTCATCCCCGTGTCCGGAGACCCCTGTGCATCTTCGCCACCCTATCCGCCATCTCATTCCCCTCGATCCCTACACGACTGGGTATCCATACCAACACCACCCCCTTTTCCCTCATTAACCCCCATACTACATTCATTACCTTCACCGCTCACGGGTTTAACTCCCCTTTCCCGTAGTCCCCCTATTTGATCGTTCTCAGCGCCATCTGCACCGACAGCGAGTCTGTAAACACCACCCCACTCTCCTTGCCCTCCACTCTGCCAAAATTCTCTAACGCCCTCACTATGACAATCGCCTCTGTCGTAAAAATCGACATTTTCCCGCAAATTCCACCCCCCAACCCCCCAACCATCCATATACCTTACTACTCCCGCCCCGTTCGCCCCCCATCACCTTCTATCTTCTCTCCCACCCCTGTAACATATATGTATATTAAAGATAGAGTGACTGTCACTTAAAATTGTACACCTAGCGGTTCCACCCGATATTGTTCCAACAAAACACGAAAATTGTACTAAATTATTGAAACTCGTATAGAGGCATTTTTTAACAATCCATCGTTCATCCCTGATATTCGGTTTCTTATCAGACCACTCTTTTAATTTATTCACTACACAGTCTTCTTTGTATCGTTTTATTATACATTGAACTGTGCTTCTACTTCGATTAATAATTTTACTAATTCCATCAAAACTTTTTTTGTTTTTGTAGTGATAAATAACTAATTCACGCTCCGCCGTTTGTCGCACTTAAGTCTTTTTTATTGATTTTTTGGCAGAACAACGCATATAACATTCAGAATGCTGCTAAATCAGCTAGATTCAATCGTTGTTACGCGTTGTTGGACATAAAGCAATTGGGGATTCACAGGATTTCCAATGTTACCAATAGTGTACTTTTTGTACTGACAGCTAAGTTTTATACGGAACCTCAAAGGAGGATGTTAAAAAAGTGGCAAATTTATACCTACAATAAATAAAATAACTACAAGGTATCATTCTACAGATTCTGCACTTCGAATTGTACACAACTGTTTATAGCAAATGTAATTGGAAAGTCGTGAAAAATGTGGTTGAAGTTGACGATGCTACGAAAGATGAATCAACTTTCTGACTTCAAATGACTATAACTTCAAAGTGAATGCATGAAACGTAACAATTCCGACGCTATTTTGTAAAGAAAAGTCAATATTTATATAATATGCAAAGAAATGTTGCCCAGATTGTTGGTTAGTAACAGTAAAACGCAAGATTAAAATGATACATTAGGATGCAAATATTCCTCAAAATATGTTTAATGGTATACTGTAACTTTTTCCTAGAATGGAATTAAATGCATTCAATATGAAAAACTGTTATTATATCTCATCCCCTTCTCCTTTGGATCATAATTTTTTAATGAATTTAACATTAACGATGACGTTCAGAACATATACGATATGGTTGCTATCGTGCAATCTGAAGTGTTTATACTTCAGATGGTTTTGCTAGTTCGTTACATTCTTGTAGAGATGTTTATCTGAAGAAGATAACACCACTATGGCTTTCTATGATACTTTTTCTTTTGTCTGGAGTTGGACCACAGTTTTATATGAGATGCTATCCAGTGCAAACCAAGCGATTCCCAGATTTTTTTAGATTTGAGATTTTATTTTATTTTGAAGACATTTTGTATTACGATTTTTGTGTAGTGTACTTTGCAGTCTAGTGTGATTTGTGTAAT